CTTAGCCCCAGGTACATTGGGCCTTTTGAGATACTCCGGATAGTTGGAGAGGTTGGTGACTCAGAGTAGGCACCAGATTTATGCGGATCGAAGGCATCGACCTTTGAGATTCTTTGTTGGTGATCGGGTATTCCTCCGTGTGTCACCCATGAAGGGCGTGATGAGGTTTGGGTGGAGGGGAAAGCTTAGCCCCAGGTACATTGGGCCTTTTGAGATACTCCGGATAGTTGGGGAGGTTGCTTATGAGTTGGCCCTACCTCCAACATTTTCAGCCATCCACCCGATTTTCCATGTATCGATGTTGCGGTGGTATGTTCCTGATGAGTCCCATGTGCTCCAATATGATACAGTCGAGTTGAATGATCGTTTGAAATTTGTAGAGGAACCAGTTGCCATTCTAGCCAGAGATGTGAGGAGATTTCGTTGCAGAGCCATCCCTGTTGTTAAGGTCCATTGGAGGGATCGTCCAGTCGATGAGGCTACCTGGGAGTACCTATTGTGTTGGTACTCATGTTATGCTCTGCATCTATTTTGTGAGGCAGGTCCTAGTACTAGTTACCAGCGGTGATTAGTTCCAGCCTTCTTTTGCAGTTGTGATTCGGAGACGAGGGTGAACACTTGGCGTTTTGGGTTTGTTTTGTCTCTTTCTTTTGTTTTAGCTAGTCTTGTTGCCTTTGAGACACACTCTGTTGTGTTCCTCTTTTGGTACTTGTATTCTTTATTAGATAGCTCTATACTAGTGACCTCCAGATTCTTGGAGAGATTTCTGTATATATTTATTTTGGGTTGCTTCCGCCTTGTAATTCTTGTTTAGATTATTGTTATCATTAATATCTGCCCTTTCGTTCATTGCTTGATGTTCTGGGTTACCGGTTAGCTTACCTACTGGTGGGGTATAGTAGGTGCCATCATGACTTGAGAAATCGGGTCGTGAAAAGTTGATATCAGAGCCTCAGGTTCACCGGTCTCACTTGTATAGAGCTAACGTCTAGTAGAGTCCTGCAGATGGGTGCGGCGACGTCCGTAACTTATCTTCGAAAGGCTACAGGATATCCTTAGAAATATTTCCTCTTTTGTTTCACTTTCATGCGGCATGTGTCTTATTGGTTCCTTAAGATCTCACTTATTTCACTCTTTCGCAAGATGGCTCGCTCGTGAGGTGGCGTGGCCGGGGGTGATGCACCCAGGCCTGCAGATAGATCCCTAGCTTCGGGTAGACGCCGACCCCGAGGTCGAGAGAGGGCCGCAACATCAGTCCAGAAGAGAGAGGAGGATCCAGAGCCGGTAGCAGACCCTTCAGCACTTCGTATACCAGATCAGCTGGTGGGGCCGGGGCCAGCCGAGCCGCCACCCGTACTAGTTCTGACTCCAGATCTCCAGGCCGCTACTGCTCAGCTCTTAGGTGTGCTTGGGGGGATGCAGCAGCCACCCGCCCCAGTTACACCATCACTAGTACCGCATGATCAGTCTACAGTGAGAGCACATCAGGTCCAGGTACCACCTGAGAGAGTACAACCCTTGCCAGCGGACAAACCTATGCCACTTTAGGACCAGAAGATGCTTGGTGTGTTTCTTAGGTTGATACCACGAGGTTATCTGGGCAGTGGGTGAGGATCCCCACGAGTTTCTTACTACTTGTCGTGAGAGGCTTCACTCTTTGGGACTTGTGGAGTCTAGAGGGGCCGACTTCATTGCTTACCAGCTAGATTGGCCAGCCAGGCAGTGGTGGCGCACATTCATTCAGACCAGGCCAGTTGGATCTCCACCAGTATCATGGGATGAGTTTTCTGAGGGCTTCTTGGCCAAGTTTATCCCTTGTAGCATCAGAGACCGCCTCAGGGATCAGTTGTGCAGGTTGGAGCAGGGCTCCATGTCGGTGGCAGAGTACGAGACTAGGTACCACGAGCTCTCCCATCATGCCGAGATGATATTACCTACAGAGGAGGAAAGAGTTAGGTGCTTTGTTCGTGGTCAGCAGGGTATATGAGGTGGTACCTAAGGAGGCAGGACAGGAGGCAGGTTTGGTGGGCACGGTAAAGGAAGACAAGGCCATTTCTATGCACCTCAAGCGAGAGCGGAGGCTGAGGCATCAGACGATGTGATCACAGGTACTATTCTCTTAGGCCAGCGGCCCGACTTGGCTTTATTTGATCCACGCTCTACTTTTTGGTATGTTTCGGTTTACTATGCCTCTCGATTGAGTATGATGTCTGAGCCTCTGGTAGCGCCATTGCGTGTGTCGACCCCCGTGGGTGAGTCTTTAGTAGTGGATAAGATATTTTGGTCTTGCTTAGTTACTATGCAGGGGCATGACACCCGGGCTGACTTTATATTGCTTGACATAGTTGATTTCGATGTGATTCTGGGCATGGATTAGTTATCCCCTTATCGCACTCTTTTAGAGTGCTTTTCTAAGACAGTTACCTTGGCCATTCCTGGTATCCCTCCAGTGGTGTGGCAAGGATCTCGTGGTAGCACACCTGTTGGGGTTATCTCTTTTATTCGTGCTAGGAGGCAAGTGGCTAGTTGATGCTTATCATATTTGGCCTATGTGAGTGATGTCAGTAGGGAGGTTCCTCCGGTTGAGTTAGTTCCTGTTATTCGTGACTTCTTAGACGTGTTTCCTACTGACCTACCAGGCCAACCCCCAGAGAGTGATATTGATTTTCCGATTGAGCTTGAGCTAGGTACTCGGCCTATTTCTATTCCTCTATATCAGATAGCTCCTGCAGAGCTCAAGGAGCTCAGTGTTCAGCTTCAGGATCTCTTGGGTAAGGGATTTATCAGAACTAGTGTATCACCTTGGGGCGTTCCCGTATTTTTGTTAAGAAATAGGACGGTATGATGCGCATGTGCATTGACTATAGGCAGTTGAATAAGGTGACAGTGAAGAATCGATGTCCTCTACCTAGGATTGATGACCTATTTGACCAGCTACAGGGATTTTCGGTATTCTCTAAGATTGATTTGAGGTTCGGTTACCACTAGTTTAGGATTAGGGCAGCGGACATCCCTAAGACTGTATTTAGGACCCGTTATGGCCATTATGAGTTCTTGGTGATGTCATTTGGGTTGACTAATTCCCCTGCTGCCTTTATGGACTTGATGATACGCGTGTTCAAGCCTTATCTTGATTCCTTCGTCATAGTCTCCATTGATGACATTTTGATATTCCCGCGGAGTAGCGGTGATCATGAGCTTCATTTGAGAGTTGTGCTCCTGAATTTGAGAGATCAGCGACTTTATGCCAAGTTCTCAAAGTGCCAGTTTTGGTTAGACTCTGTAGCGTTCTTTGGGCATGTTATATCCAAGGAGGGAATTATGGTAGATCCGGCGAATATTGAGGCTATTCGTGATTGGGCTAGGCCAACCTCAGTTACTGAGATTCGGAGCTTCGTCGGACTAGCAGGTTACTATGGACGATTTATGGAGGGTTTCTCCACCTTGGCAGCACCTCAGACTTGATTGACCCGTGTTGATGTTCCCTTTGTTTGGTCAAAGGAGTGTGAGGCGAGCTTTTTGAAGCTCAAGAAGTTATTGACCACCGCTCCTATATTGACTCTTCCAGTTGAGGGAGAGGGGTTCACGGTTTATTGTGACACACCCGGCATTGGTTTGGGTTGTGTATTGATGCAGCAGGGCCGGGTTATTGCTTACGCGTCGAGGCTGCTTAAGATTCATGAGAGAAACTACCCTACCCATGACTTAAAGTTGGCAGCAGTAGTTTTCGCACTTAAGATTTGGAGGCACTACTTGTATGGAGTTCGATGTGAGATCTATGCCGATCACAAGAGTCTTCAGCACATCATGAGCCAGAGGGAACTTAATTCGAGGCAGCATCGTTGGATTGAGCTCCTGAAGGAATCCGACCTCTCTATTCTCTATCATCTGGGCAAGGTGAATGTGGTAGCGGACTCCTTGAGCCGAAAGGCGGTGAGTATGGGTAGTTTAGTCTTCTTATCTGTTGAGGAGCGACCCTTGGCTATGGACATGCAGGTATTAGCCAATAGCATGGTTCGGTTGTATATCTTAGATTCTAGACGTGTCTTGGCCCATATGGGAGTTCAGTCTTCCTTTCTTGATAGGATCCGTGGTTGTCAGTTTGAGGATGAGGCCTCAGTGGCCCTTAGAGATCGAGTGTTAGCGAGTGATGGTGGTTAGGCTACCTTAAATCCTGATGGAGTGTTGAGATTCGCCGGCCGCATTTGTGTTTCGAGAGTTGGATATTTGATACAGTTGATACTTTTTGAGGTCCATGAGTCTATATACTCGATCATTCCAGGCACAGCGAAGATGTATCGTGATCCGAGGCAGCATTACTGGTAGACTGGCAGGAGGTGAGATATTGCTGACTTTGTTTCCCGTTGCTTGTGCTGCAAGTAGGTAAAGGCCGAGCATTTGAAGCCTGGTGGCGAGTTCTAGAGATTACCCATTTCGGAGTGGAAGTGGTACTGTATCACTATGGACTTCATTGTGGGGTTGCCGCGGACTTCTAGAGGTGTTGATAGCATTTGGGTCTTTGTTGATCGATTGACCAAGTCAACACATTTCCTTCCTGTTCAGTCTTCATTTAGCGCCGAGAGGTTGGCTCGTATCTTCATTCGGGAGGTGGTTCGACTTCATGGGGTGCAAGTTTCTATTATATCACATCATGGTTCTCAGTTCACGTCTAGCTTTTGGAGGACCTTTCAGGTTTAGTTGGCCACTCGAGTTGACCGTAGCACAGCTTTCCACCCGTAGAGTGATGGTCAGTCAGAGCGTACTATTCAAGTCCTTGAGGATATATTGCGGGTCTGTGTTATGGATTTTGGAGGTCAGTGGGACGAGTTCTTTCCTTTGGCGGAGTTTGCGTACAACAACAACTACCACTCTAATATTCAGATGGCTTCGTTCGAAGCCTTATATGGTAGGCGTTGTCGCTCTCCAATTGGTTGGTTTGAGTCTTCAGAGCCTAGGCCGCGTGGTACGGATTTGCTTCAGAGGCTTTGGACTAGGTGAAAATGATTCAGGATAGACTCAAGACGGCTCAGAGTAGGCACAAGAGTTATGCGAATAGAAGGCGTCAACCTTTGAGATTCTCTGTTGGTGATCGGGTATTCCTCCGTGTGTCGCCCATGAAGGGCGTGATGAGGTTTGGGAGGAGGGGAAAGCTTAGCCCCAGGTATAGTGGGCCTTTTGAGATACTCCGGATAGTTGGGGAGGTTACTTTTGAGTTGGCCCTACCTCCAGCATTTTCAGCCATCCACCCGATTTTCCATGTCTCGATGTTGCGGCGGTATGTTCCTAATGATTCCCATGTGCTCCAGTATGATGCCGTCGAGTTGAATGATCGTTTGACATTTGTAGAGGGACCACTTGCCATTCTAGCCAGAAATGTGAGGAGATTGCGCTCAAGAGCCATCCCTGTTGTTAAGGTCCGTTGGGGGCATCGTCTAGTCGAGGAGGCTACCTGGGAGACCAAATAGGAGATGCTAGAGCTGTTTCCCGCCTTGTTTGAGCCTTCTGGTACTTCTTGATCCTCTCTTTCGCGAACGAAAGTCCTTTTTAGTAGTGGATATTTTAATGACCCTCCAAGTCATTTCTGTGTCTTGACTTGTTTGTGTAGTTTAGAGAGTTCCTGTAGTGACCCCAAGTCATTGATGACTTGCTGGGACTGACAGTTCAGTCACCTGGTCATTCGTTTGGTCTTGGTGCGAGTTTTTGTGTTTTGGAGCTTATGAACCTTGAATGATCATTTTCGATCAAAATTTCAAGAAACTGACATCGGAATCCAATTCTGACAATTCCATCAGCTTCGGAAGGGTAATTTTAGGCTATTAGCATGGTCGTCCTGACTCCCGAAGTTTTCAGTGTGAGTCGGTGCGATTAGGTGTTTTAACTTTAAGTTTAAGCCTAAGTTTGAGTTTGGTCAACATTCTGAGTAAGCGCGCTCGGTTGAGAATTCCGTCAGCGCTGTTAGCTCCAGAATGTCATATTTGGTGTATATTGACCCTTCTTTTGTGTCCCGAGGTTTCCGATATCTTTTGTGGTTTTGACTTAAAATGGCTTTTGGAAGTGGGACCCACTTTTTATCGAGATGACCTTTGATGGAAATTTCGACTGCGCCGTTGAGTCTGGAATATCGAATTTGGTATAGTTGCATATCTCGTTTGCGTTCACGGGGTTCCGAACGAGTTCGGAGCACCCCGTCTCAGTTTTTAGTTTTTGGAAAATTGAAGAAAATCTGCTACAATTGCAGAAAAACCAGCAACATTCCCAAAACTTAAACCCCCATCTCTCTCTCATCTCTCAATGGATTTAGGCCATTCGAAGTGCAGGAGCATCGTTTTTTTGGTGTCTTCTCTGTAGACTGTTCGGAAGTTATTGGGTGCGCATAGTTTGAGGTAAATTTCGCGATAACCTGACTGTTGTACCCCTTTTTCGAGCTTTTGTTTTTGGCATTCTTGTGTTACTCATATCTCTCTCATTTTAGCTCGGTTTTGGGTGATTCGAAGTCCCACGTGTTGAGAATTGTCAAGAATTCTTCGTAGAGTGTTGGCTACCTTTCGATTCTCGTTTATTTTGAGTTTAGACTGCTGTTGTAGGTTTTCTTTTAGTTGATTAAAGTTTGGTTTCTTGCTTGTTGGTTTTTGCTATGTTTTCAGTCTCGAATTGTGTTCCAGTTTGGAACACAAGTTTGGGGTGCCGTTTAGGGTCTCTTGAGGGAGTCAAATTCGGACAGTTCGATAAGAATCCCACGATTCTCGTTTTGACTCCAAAATTGACCCGTCTCAGTTAGTTGTGATTATGTTGTCTAAATGACCGTAGTAACATTGAGACTCTATTTTTGATAGCGGGGTAGCGTTTCGAGGTCGTTCGGATAGGGAAAGCTCCGATAAAGTGATTTGGAGAGCGCGCGATCGACCTTAAGGTAAGCTACGACTTCCTTTCTTTTAGATTGACCTTGATTGTGTAAAAAGATGTCGATTGGAGTGAATTGGGGGTGGTACAAGTTTACTACCTTACTTTGATTAGATACCTCATGTTAGGATCGATTGGCCATATTTCGGGTATAGTATCATTTTAACCGGTTTAGTAAAGTTGCATGCTTATGTGCTAAATTCTATTGTATGATTGGATTCTATGTATTGTATGCCTTGTTCATCCTTAACCGTAAGCATGATGTCCTTAGTCTAGGTTAGGCTAGCTTTGCCTTAGACTTATAACCCGTGTGGGCTGGATAGCCTTGACTTTATGCCTACGTCATTCGGATGACTTAGCTCCTTGTACGCTGGAATAGCAGACTTGAGTCTGATATTTTGAGCCTTAGATTAGGTGTTATCGTTGGTTGCTGCACTTCTGTATCATCTCCCTCTCATTTTTCGATTCCGACCCATTCTCGAAGGTTTGGTGCATCACTAGAGGCATGGGATT